AAAAAAAAAAAAAAAAAAAAAAAAAAAGCCTTGGTTCTTCCTGGGAGCTGCGCCGAAGGAGCAAGAAGGGAGAAGGAAGGAACAAGGGACTGCTCCCAGCTTTGGAAATGGATGATCAGCCCAGGTTGATGCATTCCCATGCTGGGGTGGGAATGGCTGGACACCCCGGCCTGTCCCAACATATGCAGGATGGAGCAGGAGGGACAGAGGGGGAGGGGGGCAGAAAACAAGACATTGGAGACATTTTACAGCAGATCATGACCATCACAGACCAGAGTTTGGATGAGGCGCAGGCCAGGTGAGATGGGGGAATCTTCTCTTCCTTCTTGCAGGGTTTTGTTTTTCTTCTCTAACAGAAAGATAAACAATAAGATCCTGATCACCATTGTGCTTTCTGTGCTCTGAATAACAACTAGGTTGGTGAAGGGAAGGGGCCACATCTGCTGGAGAAAAGGTTTTCCCAAGTCTAATTTTGTGGGGACATAATATAGTTGTATACATGCATATGGACGTAAATATATATTTCTATAAATATTGAAACTGCCATCTGCTTTGGAGCCAGCCTCATCACTCCTATGACTTACCAAGTCAGGCAGGACAGAAGGGCTAAGTTTTGAGCATCTTCTTCCTCTGTGGTATCCCAAGAGAAGAAGGTTGCATATGACCCTTTATTGCTAAATTATTTGATTTCATTTGTCCTTGTGGTACCCTTTTTGCTTGTATCTCCTGGTAGTCAGGGTTATTTTATTTTTCCATTTGGTTCCTTGTGTTTTGTGAAGAATGAGGCACTTTTCTTTGTCGTCAGTTATCAGGGTTTTTTAGGATTTTTTTTTTTTTGTTAAGTATGTAGGGTTTTAAAAAAATCAGACTGTTGGATGAAAAGGAAGTGGAGTGAATATTTGCTTTTATTCATTGAAAAGGTCTAGTTACATTTTTTTTGTTTGGGATGGTATTTTTTTTTTAACTTTAGGCCAGTTTCCTGTGGCTTTGCTGCTCAGTCCAACAATGTATACAATAAGTGGACTCTTTCTGTTCTGCTCCCCTCCACCCTTGCTTTAAGAACCTATGACACGATTGACTGTAATTGGAACCATGTGTGGAGTCTGTACATTTTTGGAACAGGACTTGGAGATATCCATTGAGGAAACAGACTAGTAAAAACTGCAGCTTCCAAACTTAATCCAGCAGCAGGCAGTTGAGGCTTCTTCAGCATTTTCATTGTAGTATTACATCTTAGAACAGTTTATTTTTAAAACACGCTAGCCTGTGAGGAGCCTGACTTCAAATTCCACCAAAAATGCATCAAGTGTTTTACCACTGTTGGACACATTTTGTAATATTGGTGCCTTCTGTAAAGGCCACACTTTTATGTTTGGGGATGGTATGCGCAGGATTTTAATGATGTTTCTTTTTTTCTAAAAAGAATATAGGCTGTAAAATCTGGGAGCAGAAACACATTAGAATTCATTGCATACAAACTTAATATACATCTTCATAAGCGCTAGGAAGAAGTTTAAAAAAATCCAGTTGAAAAGCTGTGGTTTCAAAAAGGGGAGAAAAAAACCCCAAACTCAAAAAACAAAGTTGCCAACAACTGCCTAGTGTACATTTAACTCTTATTATCTGATGAAAAGGTGTTAGGTGTTGGATAGTTTTTAGTGGCATTTATGTTTCAAACTGGAACAGATTGCTAGAGTACGTTGTTCTTGGAAAAACGCACATCCCAATAAACTCTTTTAGTAACTACTTCCGAGAGGATCTAGGCATACCCAAAATCCCTGTTTATTTTGGGTTTGTCTGTTTGCCCGGCCTGTTTAAAAACAAAACAAAACAAAACTTTTGGAGAATATCAGGATTTTTTTTTCTTTGCAGAAGCAAATTAAAGTAGCTTTATAGGAAGATGTTTCCTACTTCAAACACAGACAGAGCTGGAGAAGGAAATCTTTATCCTGAAGTTACAAAAATCGTGCAGCTGTGTTCCTGCATGTTGATGTAGAATTTAGTACAGCTAATCAAATTAATAAATCTAAACTGGTATAGAACAGACCTCCAAGAAGGATCTGTGCTTTCTTTGCCATGTTGGACCATCACGGCTACTTCCTCACAGTACTTTCTCTTCAGCAGCAAAACCCCCAGTATTCATCAATAATGCAGTGCTTTCAATTTACTTGTATGTTCCATGTTAGTTTTTTTGGGTAAGGTGTTTTTGGTTAAGCAAAGTCCTAACACCATTTGGGAGGGTGTGTAAATACTGAATAAATGTTATTTGTTTATATGCAAATCCCTATGTCTGTCTGGGTGTATTGATAAGGTGCTGTGCTGGGGCATACCTTTTGAGAGACTCCATCAGATATATCAGTCTTTTAACAGAAGGAGGGATTTGTAAGTGGTGGGGAGAATAGTGTGATTGGGAAAAACAGGGTGAATGTTTGCCAGATGTTCACATCATCTTTTCATGTAATTTCAGTTGGTAAACAGAATTCCCATAACTGATTCCTGATAGGAACAGCCCTCTATACAACCAAAGCTTTGGCAATGTGATTAAATGGCTAACAAAAATTTATGTTTGTTTCGTTGCCTAAGTGGACACCTGGCGAGTTTTTAAAACCAAGCAATTAAAAAAGCAACTCTTCTGTCATTTTAAAAACATGAACAATGGGCAGCTCCTATCCCAGCCTTGAAGTAAAGCAAACAAAAACCCCAAAAAAACAAACAAAAGATGTAAAAACCAACCTATGGACCAAACATGCATTTGTTATTTTTAAATACGTGTAGTGGTCTGATTATAAATACTTGAATTTTAGCACCTGCAAATACACAGCATGCATGCAAGAAGCGTAAATGTGAACATAGAGAAATGAATCTCTTTCCCCATATGTGTGTGTTTGCCCATGGCAGTACATTTCCATACTCTTTATAATGGTGCTGGAATTCTATAAATTGAAGGGTTCTCTGACTAAAGCTATCAAACATTGAGCATGCAGGGGCTTTTGCAGAATAAATTGAAACACATGGATGAATTAAATGGGGAGGGGTGGGGAGCTCAGTGTTGTGTGTGTCCATGTATTTGAATAAGGTAGGCTGGGATTAGATTCCACATGCTTTTGGCTTTGGCTCAGTTAATTGCCTGGCTGGAGTAGCTAGATTGTGAATGCCACTGGGTGGCAAATGCCATTTTCAAGCGATTCCTAAATGGGGATAATTTATAGTATCTGCATGAACTAGATAGTCCTCCCAAACTAACATCCTTTCCCTTAAGTCCTAAAAGCACTTGCAGATATGCATTTTAGCCAAAATCCCATCCGCAACTCAGCTGGGAAGCCTATTATGTCACATACTTATTTCCCTTCTCTTTCTCTTGCCCATATGAGCCAATTTGAATGTTGAAAGTTCTCCTAAGCTGCCATGGCACCCTAACCTTGCCTTTTCCTTGCAGGAAACATGCTTTAAACTGCCACAGGATGAAGCCGGCCCTTTTTAACGTCTTGTGTGAAATCAAAGAAAAAACAGGTAGGAATGGAATTCTATATTTGTTTCCCCTCCCCCCCTTTAAGAATATTTTGCTGTCTCCAAATTTTTATAATTAAAATATATATTTTTAAAAAGTGAAGCCCCCATCCCAAATATTTTACACTAGTGGCAATAGAATGTCATACTATGGTACGTCTTACAGGGAAAATTAGTACAGTTGAATTTCAATCGTGCAGTATTTTTTGCTCTGAAACATTGACTCTCTTGTTACTGTATTAAAATATGACATTTCGTGGAAAAATATTCTGAACATGAATTTTAAAAGCCATCTATCCTAGAGACTCTTTTCATTTTCTCCTTTAAATAATAGTAATAATAATATTGTGCTCACAAAGTTTTGTTTGTTTGTTTGTTTGTTTTTGTTTTTTTTTACTCTTTCCTTTCCCTGTCCTTTTTTTTTTTTTTTTTTTC